GCAACGAGAGAATCGCAATGCGAAATGAAAATCGCAATGCGGAAATGAAAATCGCAATGCGTTTATAATTTCGCATTGCGATCATCTCGTTGCGATTTTCATTTCGCATTGCGATTTTCATTTCGCATTGCGATTCTTTCGTTGCGATTTTCATTTCGCATTGCGATTTTCATTTCGCATTGCGATTCTCTCGTTGCGATTTTCATTTCGCATTGCGATTTTCATTTCGCATTGCGATTCTCTCGTTGCGATTTTCATTTCGCATTGCGATTTTCATTTCGCATTGCGATTCTCTCGTTGCGATTTTCATTTCCGCATTGCGATTTTCATGTTGGGATTTTCATTTCGCGTTGCGATTGTATTTTCCGTGTTGCGATAGTCAAATGCATGCCTAATAGTGATAACAACTGAATAACAAGAGTTGGTTAAGTCAAAATGGTTGGCCTGAGTCATTAATTCAACTGAAAATGTTAAAAGTTCACACATAAAATCCACATAATACAACGTTTGCATATGAGCTTTTGATGGCAACGTTTACATAATACACATAAAATGTTAAATGTTAAAACGTTTACATAATACAACTGAATAACAACGTTTACATAATACAAAGTTCACACCATATGAGCTTTGGATTTTGATGAGGATCCATATTTTGGTAGAGGAAAAGATGATTTTGATGGCACTGGTGATCCACATGTCAACCTTGTATGACCACTTTCCTTGCACCGACTACATGTCGATCTCTTCTTCTCTTCACCCTTAGACGGTATACGATCGTGACTTTTGGTCGGCCAGGTAGCCTTCTGTCCATGGCTGGTGGCAAAACTGTTTGTAAGTCATCTGGTATGTCCCACTCAGAAGGATGTGGAATAGGGTAGACAATCTCGGCATAAGTCTGTCGATAAACTTCTGTAGTGTAGCAATCCATAGCGTATGCGCTTGAATCATCTTGGTTTAAATGAAGAGCAACTTTTATAACATGGCCACACGGATAACCAGATGTTTGCCATTTCATACAACTACACGTCTTTGCATTTAGATCGACTAGCCCATTTAAGTTATTATCCAGTACTTGAAACAAAGTGTTTGAACATGGTTCAACTCTCCATGACGTTGACTTCACAACACGTTTCGTTATCTTTTTTCAGTCCATGGTGTAACACGATGTTCCAATGTTCCTGTAAATTTAAATAAACATACTTAGTAAAATATAAATATGATAAGTTACGAATTCAAAGAAATAATACATGCATGGTTTCTTTCTTGTAGTACCACTGTTGAATAGAGGCTCGAAAAAACTCCATTAACATAGTAATGGGTAATTTCCGGGAATGACGACTTAGAGCGTTGATTGATTCTGCACTATTAGACGTCATGAAACCATATCTTGCTCCAAGTTGATGTACTCTTGACCATCTTTCAAACCCGACATCTTCTAGTGTTTGAGCACACTGAGGCAAAACACGTCTTAAACAATTTATATGCTTATTGAAATCCACTTCCCGATAAGCTTTTACAGCCTTCCAGTATGTCCATTTGTGCTTTTTATACCAGCAGACCTTGATTTTAGATTTCTATACAAATGAACACCACAAAGTCCATGAAAAGCATCTGGGAAACACCTTCTAACAGCGTTGTCAATTGAGTTTGCCCTATCGGATATGATTGTCAGATTGCTAATAGGACCTATGCAATCCCTAAGATGCCCCATAAACCATGTCCATGAATCAGAGGTTTCAGATTTGCCAACCCCGTAAGCTATTGGCAATATCCCATTGTTAGCATCCATGGCTACTGCTAATAAGTTTACTCCAAGGTATCGACCTTTCAAATGTGCTCCGTCAACTATAATAACTGGGCGCATGCAAGTAATAAACGAACGAATCTACAAAATAATATACACAAGAAATATAATCATTTAAATGTGAAATGCATGTAACTAACAAAAATGAGTCAACAAAATTATATTGATTTACTAACCGTAGCACCAATGGCGATAAACAGCAACTCAAAGCGTCCATCTCTATCTGTTTTGATATGAGTTACCGACCCAGGATTTTTCAGCTTTAAATTGTGACAATAAGCCGGCAGTTGGGCAAACGATGCTTCTGGCGACCCCCTCAACAATTCCAAGGCATAACATTTGGCTCTCCAAGCTTGAGAATATGATATACTAATCTTGAACCGAGCATTCATGTCAGTCATAATTTCATGTCCCCGATATACCCTGCCATTCAAAAACATTAACTCAGCCAGAAAACCACCCAACACCTTTTTGTTTGCCTGTCTATGGTGAGGAAAAACTTGGGTTCTTGAACATGTATGTTTATCAATAAAAGTCCTAACTTGAAACATTTTGCAATCTTTTATTCTCTTTGCAATCATACGCCACGTACAGTTTTTGTCAATCATACACCTTGTTTCGAAACGATCTTTGCTTGATTTGTTAACTTTTAGTTGATAGCCATCTTCCACACATTTCGTATATAAAGCTATCTTCAAGTCTTCCTTTGTATCAAAACAATCATCTTTCTTGATACGAATAACTTTTGTGTAACAATCAACTGCTTTCTTTATCAACTCTTCTTCCGGTATCTGAAGTAATTCTGGCATATTCCAGTTATACGCCCGTGGCATTTTCTTTTCTTCGGGGACTTTTTCTTCTTCTTTTTCTTCTTCAGGATTATATGAATTACAGAATGGATGTTCAACATGTTCATTCACAGTCGTAACTTCCTCCTCATTATCATCAACATTACATTCTTCGGCAACAGCTGTTTCATCATCAAAATTCGGGTATTGACCAATATCAATATCATTACACGCATGGTCTGTTTCTTCTTCTGAAACATCATCAAAATCCGTGTATTGACCAATATCAAAGTCCGGATATTGACCAAGACCAAATTTCGAATACTGACTAGTACTCACAATTTTTTCTGTTGGCTCATCATCGTCTAACTGGTCAATACGAAAACCGGAATTTGGTGCTGAAAGTTGATTGGGATTTGGATTAGAGAAAGGTTGTGGGTTTTGAGAAAAACTTAGTTGATTACTACCCGCTACTGACCCAACAATACTACTTCTAGGTTCAACAACATACAATGTAACATCATCTTGTGAAACACTAATGTAAGCAATGAATCGTTCAACATCTTCATTGTCGGTTAACAAATAAACTTTACCATTTCTCTGATAAGATAGCCTAAATCCACTTAGGGGCTCTAAATTCAATTTATTTGAAACACGTAGCATTAGAGTTTCATAAGTTAACTTTTGTAAAGACAATTTTAGTTGAAGATTTATGGGTAAAGGCATATATTGTAAAACACCATTAACATTATCCCATGACCCTCCAAAACACAAATCTATCCAAACATGATCAACATTAGATGATTTCATGGTTGTAACTAAACAAACGAGATGCGAAACTAAGACCTGTTGCCGGATGGGGAAGGATGTCGTTGGATATAGGAACGGATGTCGCCGGAGAGAGTGATAGATGGAGATGGAATGAGTTGCGATTTAGGGATTTAGTTTATGATTTCAGTGTTATATACCCAAAATTTCAGTGTTGTGATTTACAGATTCTCGTTGCGATTTACGGATTATCGTTGCGATTTACAGATTCTCGTTGCGATTTACGGATTATCGTTGCGATTTACGGATACGCGTTGCGATTTACGGATTATCGTTGCGATTTACGGATACGCGTTGCGATTTACGGATACGCATTGCGATTTACGGATACGCGTTGCGATTTACGGATACACGTTGCGGTTTACGGATACGCGTTGCGATTTACGGATACGCGTTGCGATATACGGATACGCATTGCGATTTACCCATACGCGTTGCGATTTACGGATACACGTTGCGATTTACGGATACGCGTTGCGATTTATGTGTTCGCGTTGCGATTTTCATATTCGCGTTGCGATTATGGAAAATCGCAATGCGAATTTGTACTATCGCATCGCGATTTTCAAGAATCGCGTTGCGATTCTGGAAACTGATTTGCGATTCTGGGGATCGCGTTGCGATTTTTATTTCGCGTTGCGATTTTGTTGGTCATTTTGGCAAATCCAAAAAAAGTTGGTTAAAATCGTATATTATAACTTTTTTTTGGTCACTGAGGCGATTTTCTCTATATATAATTATTTCATATAATTTTAATTCATATTGTTAAATTCTAGAAGTAAGTTAACAAATCTTTATTTTTAATTAATATTTAGGATAAAAATTAAATTTTAATATATAATTTCTTAATATTATTTATAGAATTAAAAAATGTTAATTAGCAATATATCAAATAATAATCTTAATATATAATATTGTCACCTTAAAACATATTAAAACTTTGCACATCAATATCAATACATTAAATAATAGTCCTATTTATCATAATATATATATATATATATATATTTAACAAATCTTAAATGAATATAAATAATATTTATTTAAAGATTTTCAATCTTTTGACGATACTTATATTCCTAACATACGCTCATACCTTAATATATATTGAATAATGTTCAAAAGCTTATCTTTATACGTATAAATAAAACATATTCAAACGTAATAGAATTTACAAATTCTTAAATATTACCAATAGTAGCGATATCAATATCGATATCAAAGGTCTTTGAACCAACTTACTTTAGTAGTTAAAGGAATTGTTGGTGTTCCTAGAGGTCATGAGTTCAAGCATCGAAGACTGTAAGGGTGATTGAACGTTCATTATCAAATGATTAAAAATACTTAGAATATATACTATTTTGTAATCACCTCTAGCTTAATAAAAACGGGAAAAAAACTCGAAAGAAATTAAAGACTTTTTCTACGGTGATTGATTGGGTTCATTTAGTGGCACAAGAGTCAATAATTTGACTTTGACCCGAACGAACCAGCAAGTGGGACAACTCCAAATTCACATTATTTAAGAAACTTCTGTAATATTTTTCAAAGCTAGGGCTTTCCGGTTCATGCACTGTACCACCAAAATTGAATGATTAACGCTTAGGCAGCTCCGGGGATAAAGATTGAAGAAGATGAGCGTGGATCAAGGTGTTAGTAATAACAAGGTCGTCGACGAAGATGTTCTGCTTCCGGGATTTCGATTTCATCCTACCGATGAAGAGCTCCTAGTGTTTTATCTTCGCCGGAAAGTTGACAAGAAACCCCTCAGAATCGAGCTGATCAAACAGATTGATATTTACAAGTTTGATCCATGGGATCTCCCAAGTATGTTTTAAGCTACCTTCTTTCATTATTAATGATAACATGTATATATACATACATACATATGTATATGTATATGTACATGTATATGTGTGTCTTGGTGTTCAATAAGGGAAAAGGGTTTCGCAGATTTCTACTTCTCATGTTTTCCCCACCAAAACTATGTAGAATTATATATGAGAGTATAGAAAACGATTACAGATATAGAAATTCGAATAATAAATTTGTTTTGATTATTTGAGTTAAATTCTCTACTGCTTGTTTGATCTATATTAATAAAATTATTCATTGTAAGTGCATCGAATATAAATTCTAGTTTATAAAGTTGAATTAAATGAATGATGCAATGAAGCAGAAACTACCATGGTGGGTGGTGGCGGCTGCGGCGGTGGAGAGACGGTATCATATTTCTTCTGCAAACGAGGAAGGAAATACAGAAACAGCGTGAGACCAAACAGGGTCACAGGGTCTGGTTTTTGGAAAGCAACCGGCATCGACAAGCCTGTTTATGCACAAACTTCGTCACCAGGTCAAGGCCATGCCTGCATTGGCCTAAAAAAAACCTTAGTGTATTACCGCGGTGCCGCCAGCAAAGGGACCAAAACCGATTGGATGATGCACGAGTTTCGACTTCCTACCGATGATAATAGTAATGTCGTCGTCGGCTTTTCGAGCCCGAAAATCGTAGCACAAGAAGCTGTAAGTGAAAATGTTGTTCAACTAGGATTAATGAATGATATGGTTCTATATGAATCAAAGACAATTTTATTACGTTATTGTGATTGCAGGAAGTATGGACCATATGTCGAATTTTCAAGCGAAATTCGTCGCTCAGAAAAATCAGACCAGATTGGAGACAACTCGAAGCAAAAAAGGGTTCAAATGCCACACAAATTAGCTCTCAAACATGCAGTGTTGTTTCGAACAGCCATGGGAACTACATTAGCTTCGGTTCTCCAATGGAAGAAGATTACCATGTCATCAATGGAAGAAGCCAATGGCAGATTGCAGACAAAATGAGTGCAGTAGCTCAAATACCTTCATCAATGGCGTCGTCTTCGAACTTTTCGATATGTACCGAAAATGATTTCTTCACTGATGCTAATTGGGATGAGCTGAAATCGGTTGTGGAGTATGCTCTCGAGCCCTTTCCTATGTAAATGATGGTTTTATAGGGTTAATTAGTTGCTAATTCCATGATTATTGAATTTCTATAAGACATGGAGTAGCCCAGTTTGACTTATTAGGAGTTGGATTTCTTTGTATGTAATACTTTTTCTTTTCTTTTGAACCAGACATGTAATATTTATAGGAATTCTCAGATTTAATCTTTGCATTTATGCATGCATAAATCAAGAAGAATTCAAACTCATGCATAAACTCACCGTACATGCAAAATCGAAACATTATATAAGTTAATATATTTTCTCGAGTGGTTAAAGGGAGTGTTCTTTCCGGAGTTGGTTTGAACAACTGCGTTTTTCTGGTGTACATGCGTTGTCAATAATTAAAAAAGATTATAAACAAATATTATCTTGTAATCATCATAGATTATTAAAAAAATAATATTGTTTATAAAATTCGATAATAATATGTAACAGGGTGTTATAATATAGGAGTAATATGTGGTTCATTAGTAATGTGTATTAATTAACCTAAATTCATTGTCTTTTTCTTCGTAATGATGTATGCTTATGTTGTAGGTGGAGGGCCATGGCTCCAGCAATGATGGGTTAATTGCATTTCAAGTCACCAATAGTTTTGAAATCATTGAAATTAAGTCATAATTTCTTTTAATTATTTTTTAATATTTTGTTAGTTTTAAAATTTATAAAATCAAATCCCGATTCTCAAAATTTATGATCTAATTACTTTTTAAACTCCACGTATCTTTGCACTTTTGAATTCGATGTGCCTTAAAGCCCGTAGATACTGAAGGTGGTTGATAATGAATATTCTATGTACACCTTGTTTGACCAATTGATAAGATTCCAAAATTCAAGTCAAAAACGATGCTGAATCGTGAGAATCTTGGAATCCTCGTTGAGACTTGAAAATAAACTGCTTTTGGCAACAGAATCAATTAATTAATTAATTAATCCGTTTTATTTGGAGGGATTAGAATAAAAAAAGTTAAAACTCGGCTGCATAATACATGCATAATTATAATTAAAAGGACATGCTTGTTGATTGTTCAGCTATATATAAACTTTGAAGAAAAATACTACTCTCAGAGCCTTTCAACTTGTTTCAACTTTCAAACCACGTGAACGTCGAGACTTATCCAAAATTAACCATTTGATCATTTTTTTTTATTTGCATTGATTCTGATTAAGACAGCAATAAATAAATAAATAAAGCTAAACAAATATATAGTTCTTTTATGTTACGTATGTGCTTAGAAAATAGTAAGGTTAATGCATGCTGATGAAATCACTAGCAATATCATCCAAACTTGAGCCTACTTGTAATTTAGGGTTTGAAGAAAAAGAGATTTTATTATTTAATTTAATCATATATAAAAAGTCAAAATTGCATGAAGAAATTACAATAAAAGGAAATAAGATAAAAAGTCAGTTTTGAGTCATGCATGAACTCATATGATGTAATATGTTAAAAGGGTTAAAATTAACTTTTAATAATCTTAACACATCACGTCATCAAAACGATCAAATGTCTAAACGACTAATATGAACAAATAAAGCTTAAGGACTAAATTGAGAAAAGTCATAAACTCCAGAGACTAAAAATTAATTTATCCCAACAATAAAAAGGGAAGAAGAGAAAAGTCAAGTCAAAGTCATGAGTCATGGACGTGTATACATATATGAATTATTCTCTTATACTGATAGCATTGAAAGTAACACAGTTCAAAGCAATACACACAGAAAACTTGCATCAACTGGAGAAAAAAGAAAAAAAAAATTTATTTCATCATTACAAGACATCTGGAAGTCATCCATTGTTTGACATTTATCGCACAGCTACGAATGCGATAACAAAATCATTTTCGTGCCGTCCGACCCGTGTTTATGTTATGTAGTATGCGTACATCGTCGTGTTCGGAGTATGCAGTATACCCTATACATGCTTCTATTATGTTCTTTTGTTGTTTTGTTGTATCTCCTTTCTATTCTGAATTTGGATAAACTCCATCTCCTACCTTGAGCCATGAATTTGTATCCAACTCAGCTTTACTACCAGGATCATACCTCAGCAATACCCCGAACAAAATCTTCCCCTGGATCCATTGAAGAACTTAATATCACTCGCATTGCAGTTGAAGAACAGAAAAAAAAGCAACAATTATCGATTTTAGATTAGGGAAGCTAACCCTGACTCTCCTGTATGATGCTAGAGTTGCCAAAGGTTCATTTGTCTTCTTCACTTGCCCTGTTTGCTGATAAAAATTAATCATCTGGCAACGGTTGCAGCCACCTAATGACTGGAAGAAATAGTTATTAAGAAACACGGGACATGTATACCATATATTTATTGGATTTTTGAAAACGGAAAACACAAAATGCCATCTGGAGTAGTATATTTGCACTCCGGATGATATAGGAAAGCAGGTAAAGGTGAAGAACTCAACAGTAAAATATGTGTTTCCAATTCTGAGACTCCTCCATCCATCTTCAGCATATGGTTCACCTCCGGATATGACAAGGTTGGGCCGAAATCTCATCGGGTTGACGTAAGGTGTGCCATTACCAGAGAGTTTTTGAGTATCTGGGACCACAAAATTAGAAAATTCACTAAAACCATGAAGAATCTAAACTGAAATGCCAATTTCAGCTTCTAGCTTGATAATAAAAGAGTTCACTGAAAATCATACTCGAGGATAGTCTATTATTGAGGTCGGATACACTTTCCTCGGAAATCAATAAGAACTGAGCTTCATTCGTAAAATTCACCCTGCTATCCACATCTCTGCACATACCCACACTTCTGTTGTTGTTCAAAGAGAAGCAGTACTCGGACTGGTAACATCGCACTAAAGTGCAAGGTTGACCAACAGCATTACTAAACCATTGATTGATTTCGTTCTCGTAACATAGGACTTCATATCTGATAATCAGGAAACAAGTACTTTAATAGGAAAATTTTAACTCAAAGAACTTTTGGAGCTTGAAATTAAATGCAAATCAAACTCCAACAATGTTAAGAACGCGACTTAAAAATAATAATAAGAGAAACGAAGACTCTTATGATCATATCGCACCTCTGATTATTCAAATAAAACTCTTCTTTCCTAAAAAGATATGAATCAGGGTCTAGTTTGATCTGCAATTTCCTTTTGCAATGGGGTGAATCTACAGACAATATCTGCTGCTTGAGGTTAATGAAGGTATTAATGAGGGACATCTCAGGAACCTACAAAACAAAACAGGATAAAAATGAATTTCTCCAAAAAAATCCCATTGGAAAAACAATTTCCTGTCCGAAAATAGATACTCGCATGCATTAAAATTTTTTCCCGAAAGAAAACTTCTGAACAATCTAACATTCATTAATTCACCAGATAAATATATTAATTGCAACAAATTTTATATTACATATATTATAGGGTATATTTATATACCAACCAGACACAATTTCACATGGCTCTAGACTATTTTGTTCCGACTTTTCATTTTTATAGAAGTACACGTGTCTGACACATTTCCGAACGTGGGTTTACCTTTCAAAAACCCTCTAATACATAGAAAACTTGGAGGGAAAAATAAACATGCCTGTTTCAGAAAACACTAGTATCCAACACTCATGCCCGTGTTCAAGTAACATTATTCTGGTACCGGGATTATTATGTATAAGTTAGTTGTTCACGGTCATCATATTATCATAGTATTGAATCTCATTCATCACCGCATTCCCGGTCAATCAAACGAAGCAATCATAATATAGAGTATCCATGTGTCATTAAAGAAAGGAGTAAGAAAGCAGTGACAAGAAAACTGGACCGAAGAGATTGTCAAATAAACGAGTTTTTCTTTTTCTTTCCTCCATTTCAGTCTGTCGGATTACTTAATAACATTGTTCTGGTGCGTACAAATTTCAGAAACAGATCCTTCCTAGTTCCTAATGTTTCCTCCTAATGGAAGCCTTTATCCCATTTTCTTTCAGACACATCGATTCTAATCTCTATAGCTATTTTGTATTGGTTAAGGGCATATATATCTCTAAGGAATAACCTTAATGCAAGGAATACTTTCATGTTAACATAGGTCCATGCTAAAGCTGTTGGAAGACACATTCTTTCAAACGACTCGTACTAAGCTGCTCAAGCAGAGGATATTCAATATTTTTCATCAATCTTATCAAAGAAATAACAAATAGAATTTCCAAGTATTCAAACTATCAAAGAATAATATCCTCCGAGTACGTCACCATATTTTTCATTGCATAAAATGTAAAATATCAACCAATAATTAGGATAAAAAACATAAATCAAAAAACAACAGCACTAAGAGGTACAGGCAACCTTCTTTTGTGTAAGAATTTCGCCACTCAAGCTTTTAAGAAGCCATTCTCGATCGTATTGCAAACCTGCATTGACAGGTAATAGTGAACAGATCTTTAACTTCTACATACGAGACAGGGAAAGAAATTGGCAAGCAAAGATCTTCCATTCGAGCATTCACAAAAGGAAAAATGAGAGATTAAAAAGAATTCATAACAGAAAAGCATTGTTCATTTTCATTCAGAGCATACACAAGTTTGGAGATGTAAGACCTCAAACAATGGTGATAGTTTCAATTTAGTTAAGGTATCATTATCCATTTGCTTCAGCAACATTTAATTCCTTCATAATTTATTGCCACTACAAATGAGTAGGGCTCAACTGATTTAAAAATACTACCATAGGTAGAAATTTGTGTAAACACTATGATGGTACATGATCATAAGGAGGCAGTGTTTATCATATGTTTTGGCCAGTATAAAATAGTGTTCTCACCATGGGAAATAACATTTTATAAAAGAGAAACTATAACATATAAACATAAAAAACCATCAACTTGGTTATAAAAATTTCAGTTTGACCTTTTGCTATATGGATGGAGCAAAAATAAAAATATAATGTTGGTTTAACAATAAACGACTAAAGAAGCCAATGTCCCAACCATAAAGATAACAACAGGTTACCAGTATTGCTGAGATGCCAATTTTTCACACTGAAACCTGCGCATGATTTTATTGGGTAGATGTTTATGGACTTAAGGCAACAACCAGAGCTTGATAGTCGATCTTCAAGGC